ATAAAAATCTAGCCCAACTTCATGGATTAAAAACAAAAGGACGCAAATTTAGGAAGTAATCTTATAGCAGAGAAATGAGAGCGAGTGTGTCAAAATTCCAAACATGTAAACAGTAAGAAATAGTGTCCAAGTAGGCTCCCAAATAGAATGTGTATTTCTATACTGAAAATGGTAAAAATGTCCATAATATATGAACACCAGAGTGCAAAGTAAGCAAAAAAATACTTCCATTTTTTACCATAGCATAAAAGAAAGGGTGATTTTATACCGTCTAACTAATCTCAAAGCAAACAAAGAAGCATCATAACTCATTTTTAACCACAACGTATGATTAAAAAGTGATATTTAAAGCCGCTTAAGTTAAAAGAAATTTCACCAGCTGACCTGCTTATAATTCTAAATTGGTACACTTATTCACTAAAATCAGTGGCATTCCCGATGTAGAAAGAAGCAATCACCTTGAGTTTCAAGTGAAAAATACTTGAACAAATCATGAGCATAGGAACAAGCAGGGAGCATCAGACCGTGATTTAAAACAAATCTACAATCAAAGTAACCCAGACCCAAGCAAAGAAAAAAGTCATGTAAAAAAATATTATAGATACATACCACACAAAGTAAGCTGTTCACCAGTGCTAATCAACCCCCAACCTTGAGATATATTGCAGAGAAGTTATTTTCCACTGAGCCGATTTATGGGTGCATCAGCCAACTATGAGGTAGGTGTATGTTCAAACAATGCTCCTAGTAAAGATCTTCAAGAATAAAAATAGGGCCTAAAATCTGAGATGCAGCTACTAGTAAAGATCTTCAAGACTAAAGAAGAAAATAAAATGTACTTTATTTTTTTTACCACTTGGCTCATATTTTTGATAACGAACACAAACAACCAACCATAAGCTCTCGACGAGAGAAAGGGTTTCGCGATTTTGAGAGAAGAAGGAGAGCAGCTCTTGATGAGAGAAAGGGTTTCGCGATTTTGAGTGAAGGACAGCGGACCGGCTTTCGATGATCCGAAGTTCCGAACAGCCGAAGACGGGGGCACGGGATTAGGGGTTAGGGTTTTTACGTTTTCGTTTTTATATATATAATATATATATAGTAAATTATATTAATTGTATAACTTTTATTATATCAATATATAATTTCTATTTTACTAATATATTATATCAATATATTATTATTAATAATTTATTATATATTATAATTTATAGAATTTAGTTTTTTTAAATATGATAAATTTTTAGAGTATATAATTTTTTTAAAATATCATACATTTTTTATATATTAGTGTTTGGTTCGTTTAACAAATCGAACGAAAAAAATTATTTGTGTTCATCTCGTTTGCTTATCAAACGAATCGAGCACGATCTCCTTGGCAAACCAAATTGGCGAACTGAACACAAACTGTTCGCGAAAAAAGAGCTTTTTTGACAGCCCTTGTTGCTATGGGTGATCTTCCTTGATACCGGAGTAGAAGGCCCAAGCTACAAAAGAAACACAATTTTTTATTCATATAGAAATAGGGTAACAACCCAACACTAACAGAATGGGAAAACTCAATAACAAACTAATCTCCGTCTAAGGCCGAAGAGAAGATCTGAGGTCGGAGTGGCGCTGACAATGGGGTGAAGGTATGGGGAAGGGGTGGTGGTTGCAAGGTCGGTTAAGAAGGGGTTTGGTGGTGATTTGAGAGGTCAGTAAGTGGACTTCTGTTGCAGGAAAGTGGCTGGACAGCCGGATCTACTGCAGAAAAGTTGCGGCTGTTGGCGAGATGAAGGCCGGGAAGTGGGACAACAAGGTTATGCAGCTGGGGGAAGGTTGGCTGGGGGCTGGAATGAGGAAAGGGGTGGCTGGTGGTATAGAAGAGGGGAGGAGAAGGGTTAGGGAAGGGAATAAGGAAGGATACAACACCACCTTGGAGTAGGATACAGTTGGAGCACTACCACCTTCTCGAATACAACCCTACGATAGGGAAGAAGACTCAACATAGGACATTTGAAGCATTACACAGTAAGTACTGCTAGACTCTTAGCAAACCAACATATATATAGTCCTAGCTAGACGGGAAACAAGGAAAGAAAGAAGAGGAGAAAGGAAAGATGAGACGATTAGTAACACTCAAACTGAGCAGGAGATGCGAAAGGAAAGATCGTCTAAATATGCTCGATGCTTTGGAAACCTGTACTGGTCACCTCATGCGATCCTTGGACCAATCTGGTTCAGATGAGCGAGCCCTTGCGTTCCGCTTTTTGCTCGAGAAGCCCCACGTCAGTCTCCCGGGGTGGGAAGGACTTCAATTTCATTCGTCGAAGCCTTAGGCTTCTGATAACGCGACGTCAAGTGTCGTGGCAGGTCGATCAAATAGGCGTTGACGTTCCATGACACATTCTGATATAATGGGTATCTGTCTACCTTTGACACAACCTGAGTGGGAACTGTTGATAGGCGGGTATTCTCTCGAATCATGTATCAAGCCGGCTTAGTTGTAAACCACGTCTTACACTCTTCGTATTTAGTGGAGTGCTGCTGATGAACTAGTATGTAAGGAGAAGTCAAATCTAAGGTGAGAGCTGTGACAGCCTGCAACTCTTTAATTACTAGCACCCACTTAGGAAAGATGTCTTCTTTGCTGATAGGACCTGGATTCTATTGCAGAATTTTCTTCCCTATAAAGCTTCTCGGGCCCATTACCAAGCTGAGGTTTATCTCCCTTGTATGAATATCTGGAGATGGATCCCATGTTGAACTGAAAATAACCTCTGAATAACTCCATATAATGTTCCCGACATGGAGCAAAATGACTCTTCTCCGGACATGCTGGACCTCCGGCCGTATGGGGAACTCAGGAAGGGGGTCTATAAATCTGAAATATCTACATTTCCCTTAAATGTGGTGGTCTTGTATGTGATGTCGACTCCTCAAACTCACAACCGTTGAAGACATCCAAAATTGATCTTGTTAATGTCCCTCTTAAAATCTGCAAAATGCTAGCTCGAGACACCATATCTCATGCTTTGTTGGGCTGCCTATTACCTCAAAGTCACTACTTTCTAGAGCAACGACTTTTTCCTCAGTTGGAATCACTCTCTCGAGTCGACTGGAATTGGTGACGTCTCTTCTTCACTAGCTGCAAGTGAAGATTTCTCTCGGAACTCATCATCTTCTTTTTGATCATTGTTAATCTCTTCAAGTGGAAGTTGGTACTCGCCGTTGATGTCCTTGCCTTCTTCAATGTTCTGCGGTGTCTTTGCCCAATTTTTCGCTTACGTCTTGCTCGGTGAAGTACATCACTCTATTGGTTGTGCTTTCTGCCTCAAGATTTCCAAATTCGTGGCACTCGCTACATTTTCTGTCTATGACAAACTTGCATATTGGTTTCGTTGGATAGTAGCCAGAGGTATCGCTTGGCGCTGTGGTCTCTCCTCGTCGAAAACTAGAGTCTACAACTTTTGGCAGTAGTTTGTTGGTAGGAATTGACGTTGTGTTTCCTGCTTCATCTTCATATCTTCTCATCCCTTCTTATATTTTTCAAATTACGGTCGAGAGTAGCCTCCCATTGGATTTCATCTTCAATGTCCGTAATCTTCCGTCGAAGTCGACGGATCTCTCGCTGTATCTTCTTTCGGGTAGGCTCGAGCATGTATCTCATTAGTGACATTGCTAAGGTTTAGGGTTGGGAGGTGAAAGGTGGTGAATGATAGTAATTGAAGATGCATAAACTTTGATTTGGGATTGCTGATTTTGAAAATTATCACAGTGAATTTAGGGTTTGGCTTAGGAATCGGTGGTTTAGGGTAGGAAATAAAATTTTCCGGCTGGGGGGTAAGGCGGACGCTAGGCCAACCCTAGGATAGGATTAGGGTTGACTCAGCTCTAATGCCAAATGATACCGGAGGAGAAAGCCAAAACCAAAAACAGAACACAACTTTTTATTAATATAGAAATAGGGTTACAACCTGTCACCAACGGAAAGGGAAAACACAATAACAAACTTATCTTCGACTTGGGCCGAAGTGGAGATCTAAGGGTGGAATGAGCTGATAATGGGGCGAAGGTATGGGGAAGGGATGGTGGCTGCGAAGTCGGTTAAAAAGGGGTTTGGTGGTGATTTGGGAGGTCGGTAGGTGGACTTGTACTACAGGAAAGTAGTGGCTGTTGGCGGGATGAAGAACAACTTGTACTGCAGGAAAGTAGTGGCTGTTGGCGGGATGAAGAACAAGAAGTGGAACAACAAGGTTATGCGGTTGGGGGAAGCGTGACTGGGGGCTGGAATGCGAAGAGGGGAGGAAGAGGGTTAGGGAAGGGAATGAGTAAGGATACAACTCCTCCTCAGAGTAGGATACAACTGGAGCAACACCATCTCCTCGGATACAGCCCTACGAAAGGGAAGAAGACTCAACATAGAGAATCTGAAAGCAATACACAGTAAAAACTGATATACTTTTAGCAAACCAACATACATATAGCCCTAGCTAAGCGGGAAACAAGAAAGGAAAGAGGAGGAGGCGGCTGGTAACGGTTGAACCTAGCGGGAAACGTGAAGGGAAAGACCGCTTGGTGCCGTTTGATGCTTTGAAATCGTGGACCGGCCACCTGGCGTGATCCCTGGACTCGGGTTCAGATGTGGGAGCCCTTACTTCCCTCTTCCGAGGTAAAGCCCCGAGTCATTCCTATATCAAACTTTGACTTTCTTTCAGTGCATGTCAACAGAGCATACTGACACTATCAATTTGTGATGCGCATTATTCTTTTTCCAAGGTTCCTTTGATGTTGAACGCTAGGCCAATTCCTATTACTTTAGTTGAGTCTGATATGCTGTTATTGCGGTGGTGGTGCTGCTGCAGTCTTACCTCGGGTTTTTATCCTGTTCATCACATCATAATCTTTGTTGGCTATTTAATAAAAATATTCTCAGAAAACTATTTTTTCTTCAACAATTTTGAACACTTCCAAGTTTGCCTATTTACGTCTAAAAATGCACTTCTCATTTTTTTTAGCTGGAGTTGTTCAGCTCAAGACGACTAGTACACTCGGTTTAGACAAGCAATTATCAAGCTCTGTTGCTGAGAAGACAAGATTCTTGCAGAAGATACTTGGTTTTGCTGTTTCAGTAGTTTTCAGCTTTATGGAAATGTATTCTTCAGGAAACAATAAGAATTTTCAACATGTGGATTTTATAAGATATACTTCTCTGAGAGACTTTCTGCCTGAAGTTTCTGCAAAGAACCTGAAGGACCCTGTTTCTGAATCAAGGATTCAATGGCAAGAAAGGGCGATTGTATTTGTTATGGAAGCGGGTGGTGTCAACTGGTTAGTAGGTAAGGTATGCTCTTCTCAATTTAATCTGTCTTTACTTCGTTGCAAATGACATTTATGGGTTTGGTGTTCTATACTTTGTTTTGATAGCTAATTTGTTACAATTTATGTTTTCATATCATTGCATTCAAGCTAAAGGTTGCCATTGAATCTGTAGGATATATCAATTTAATTAAGTTAAATGTGTCATAAATTAAAATTATGGGATAGAGTAATTGAACTTAGGTTAAGACATGATACAAGGTTTCTCAAAATCAATTTTAATTTATGCAGGGCAAGTCTACCATGGAGGCTATTCATTTATTAAGAGGTTTGACGGAGAAGTAAAAGAGCGTAACAAGGATGTACATATGATTTTGTTGATTTAGAAAAAGCTTATGATAAGTTACCAAGAGAACTACTTTGGAGGGTTCTAGAAAAGAAAGATGTTGATATGACTTATATTCAAGTCATTAAAGATATGTATGCTATTGTTGTTACTTGTGTTTGGGTAGAAGGAGGATTTACTAAGTATTTTCCTATTTATGTTGGATTACACTAGGGATCGACTTTAAGCCAATATTTTTTGCTTTACTTTTGGATGTTCTTACTAGACATTTAGAGGAGGATGTACCTTGGTGTTGCTCTTTGCTGATGATATTCTTCTTGTGGAAAGACTAGAGAAAAGTTCAATAAAAGTTTTAATTATGGAGGTCAACTATAGTCTAAAGGCTTTTGTTTGAGTAAATCTGAAATTGAACATATGGAATATAATATTAATAGTAGTAGATCTAGTGATGCGGTTGTAACTATGGATGATCATCATTAAACGGCGTGAACGTTTTAGATATCTCAGATCTATTTTCATGATATAGATGGGGATGTTGTTAGTAGAATTCAAGTTGGGTGGTCAGAGTGGATGAATGCATCTGGCCTGTTGTGTGTTAGAAAAGTATCCCGTAGACTTGAAGAAAAATTTGATTAGATGGTGATGAGACTTGCGATGCGTTATGGTTCAAAATGTTGGCCTATAAAAGAGAAGCATACAACTAAGTTGAGTGTTGTGGAGATGAGAATGCCTAGGTGGATGAGTTGCTTTACACTTAGAGGCAAAATGCGAAACAAATATATCTGTGAATAGGTTGGTGCAGCACTAGTGGCAGACAAGATTAGAGAGTCATCTTAAATGGTTTGATCATGTTAAACGTCGACCATCTTATGGTCATATCCGGAGAGTAGATGTTTTCGATTTGTTTTTTTGTAATAAAGGTAGAGGTAGGCCTAAAAAGACTTGGGCATGCCATATAAAAAAAGATCTCAATATATTAGAATTAAATAAATATATGATACTCGATAGGACACAACGGAGAAAAGGATTCATGTAGCCACCACACTTATAGTGGGATAAAGGTTTTGTTGTCGTTGTTCGTTGCGAAGCTTGCTTTTTGAAATTTTTTTTTTTTTGTTTTGGATTCTTGATATTTTTATTGCCATTGTTTTCCATGTTTGGACAACAGAAGTTACGGTTAATTCAAGGTTAATAAGAAATGTCAAAATTTATGTCGAATTCTTAATGTTGCTAAGTTGTCCCTAAGAACCGATGCAATATGGCGTCGCCTTACCATGATGACTTTTTAGAAGCACTAGCTAGGTTGTCAATATTAAGCAATACATTACAACTTAAGCTTTTTTATGATGAGCAATAAGTTAGGGTTGAACCAAGGGGAATTGTTTCCTATGGTATTCTCGTTGATTCTTTTGGAAGTGGGACTCGGGTTTGAAACTTGTTAGCTGCTACGTGAAGGGCTTGTTCTTGCATGAGTTTAAATTTATATCTAGTATTGTGCCACAAAAATATAAGCCATATACCCATCTTACTCTAGTAAAATATTTAAAGGATGTTTCTAAGTTAGGATTTACTATTACTATGCTTATGCTATATTTTGCAAAATATTTTCTGCATTGGCCCAAAATTTCCAATATTTAGCTGAGTACAATTTTATTTATTTTTTATTTTTTACGATGTTGCAACTGATCATCCATTCTAACAATAAGTTCCTAAGGCAAATTCATCTGTTGTTGCACTATATGTTGCCACTTGATTCTTTTTTGTATGAAACTTATTGGACATGCGAAACTCTAATTACATTGAGGATGTCATTAGCCGACCCGGGGGATTAGAATTTTAATGGAGGAGATGGACGGTTGAATGATAAATTAAAAGATTTATGCATTCATTTTTTATTTCTAACAATTTACAATCGATATAAAATTGAAAGAGCCAATAAATAAAATATTTTAATTGATCGAATAAAAGTTTACTTTTTAAGTTGCTTACCTAACCTTTTGTTCATATTTTCTCCTCTACTTTTTATTCTCTAATAAAAAAATTAAGCCTGAAAAGTATTAACATAAATAATTTTCCAAGATAATCTAATATAGTAATTTTATTTCTAAACTATAGTAACCGAAAGAAAAATAAATAATATGA